CATCGCTGAAGACATTCCCCGAGAGAGAAATTTTGTTTGCAGAATTGCGGTAGGCTTTTTTAATAGCGTAGACTCTTTGATCGATAGTTTTCTTGCAAACATCACTTCCTATGCGTGTGCGTGCATCTTCACCACGTACTACACAAGAGGTGTTTGATAAAACTTTATTTCAGTCAATAAACTTCTTCAATCTTCTTGGAACATCTTTCAAACCTGGAAGAAAAGGAAATGATTGAATGACCTGTAAGAGACATACTATACATGAAATTGTACATCAAAAATAAAGGAAATCTGAAAAACCTTTTATTCCCTTTAAAATTCTACACGTTCTTCTGAGCTAGGATTGTCTTTTCTTGTCATTTCATGTTGCTTACCAGAAAAAAATGTGCAGAATCAAAGGATTTGTGCCCTAAAATACATTAAACACACTACTAGCACTGGTTTCTGACATCGTTTACAATGGTCAGATGGGATTTATCTCCCTATACGACACACTATTTAGGGATTTTCATGAAAGATTCGCTCAACACTTCAATTTTTTTCTTTTTCGTTGCTTTTCTTTATTTTTTTTGTACGACCAATTCACCTTCGTCAGAAGGTAGAGAAATGACGAGGCATGAAATTTTCATGAGAATGTCCTCAAATACTAAGAAAAGTTAGATACACCCGCGGTTTAGCGGGAACCGAATTCCGAAAAATCCAGACCACATAAAAACAGTTTTTAACTAATCTGCATATAGTGCATTTTTCTCCATAACTCCCTATAAAGCCTGTTTCATAATCCCTCATTGCTATACTAGTGAAAGGTGCGTAAACATTATAACAGTGTAAAATGAAATTTAACTGAGAGAGACAAGCTCCTCTAAGAAATTTAACGAAGACAAGCAATTCTTTGGATATTTTTGACTGGCTTCAAAAACCGAAAAAAGGTTTATGATCGCCCTGATACTGGCCATTTTAGGCTTTAATTGCAACAGAATTTCCAAGTATCTACGACGATCACCTACCTCTCATATACATAGAAGATACTACCGCGCCCAGACAAGTAGTTGTTCCAAAAATATATTACAGATCTAAAACTGTGCCCAATTGTCACCTAGCCCATCATCCAGTCGAATACTTCGAATACTCGAACTATACACCTAAATTAATTTTGTAAGTTCTAGGGTATAAAAAACGCTCACTAAAGCTCGCTAACAACTCTTTACATAATCTTGTTGATTTGTTAGGGCGATCCCGGCTAATCTTACAAGTTAATCATAAGTTGGGTATTGAAGAAAATTTGAAATATTTTTCCTGTTGGTAGCAAAGTTCATTCTCGCGTTTGTTTATTACAATAGAGAAACAAATACAATATTCGTTAAATTATACCTGTCATAAACGAAGCTCTCTCAAAGCAAACAAACTTGCTGCTAACTAAACCTTGCGTATATAACGAATATAGATAACTTACCCGTGCTCAAAAATGACCAAAGTCCTACCAGTTCACAGCTTCACTTAGTTGACTGGGGTTACTGGTCGTAAACCACGTGTGGAGGCTGTTACTCACCACAAACCGTCATTCAAGACCACCTAACATGTTTGCTTCAATTGCCTGACGTTCGGGGTCGTTTCAGGCAACCAAAACCAAAAACTGTATTCCACGGCGCAAGTTGCTTCAAACCAATCCATAGAGTAGATTTCTGAGCAACACGTGGAAAGATCCTGACAAAACTAGAGCGAATACTAAATGAAGTAACGTATTTGCAATGCAAATAGTTCCGTGAGCCTCACAATCAATAATAAAAAAAATACTGCAAGGTAGGAGAGGGGAATATTTTGACATGCACAGACAAACACAAAATCACATCTACGATATACTAATTAATTCCTTTTTATTACTATTTCATGAAAAAAAAAAAAAAAAAAAAAAAAAAAAAAAAGACGTAATATGTTTACAATATTTCTACAAACAAATTTTTACCCAAAAAAGAAAATGGCTTCAGTGGCTTTGTGGACGCACGTTGTAAAATATTGTAGCAAACGTTTTCTCGAGGATTGCTGAAACACTTTTCTTTGGATATATTTGTTGATTATGACAAAGTATTGACTATCCTGTGTGTTTTTTCCCACGTCGCAGCGCTGACATTCCAATTTTTTCGCGACTAAAGGTGTGGCTCTGGGACTTGCTGTCACGTGTCAACCTTACAGATGTCTTCATACGGGATTCTGTCAATTTTCTTCCCTCGGTGGGGTCCCTGTGGGGAAACGAAAAAACAAAGAAATAGGTATCCGACGTGTACGTGAATTTTTCCACCAAGAAAAGTGAACCGAAGTTCTTTTTTCCTTGTCAAAAAACATTACCCAAATGAAAACCAATTAGTACTTGATCATTTGTGTTTTCCACCCCTGGAGATCGTTTGCTCCTGCGTACTTTTAAGCTCTCCTTGGTCTGAAGTGATTTCTCCATTGCTAAGAATGGGCCATGAAATAAACTTAATTCAGGCGTCAAGATAATGAACTGACAACTGGTCTATACAGTACGTTGATGCTCAATTAATCACTAATAGATAAAACACTTAACAGTGAGTCAATCTGACCAACCAAATCTTTTTTTAGCTTACATCTTTCAACTCTACGGCTACAGAGAAGGTCTTTTCATCCAAGGACACAAGCGAAGCTCTTGCTCCTCTGTAGGCACCGTTTACAATTAAGACAGCCTTTCCTGGAAATAAAATAAATGCAATTAATACCTCCAAAACCATACACGTCAAGAAACAACAGTTTTTATTTCCCTAACGTTACTCAAATTAACAGAATTCGATTAAGAATCAGTGTAACAAACAACGAAAACAAACAACACCACTCAAATAAAGCTTAGAGTACATCTGACATTAACCCTTCACTCCTTTACATCAGTATGCATATTCTCCATACAGCTCTCTAAACATTTCTTAGGGTTCTGACAAGGAGAATTTGTTCATCAATCTAAGGCTTCTTCAGCTGGTAACCAGGAATTAGTCTGAGAATGACTAACTTTATTTCCGAATATATTACTAACTCTTCCACAATCCCTTCATGGGGAGCCACGTGGGAAAAGCCGACCTCCCGTCAGTCTTTTCGTCATGTACGTACCACCAACACTCGTCCCCATTTCTCCTGCGCATCTCGAGACCTTAAGATTATCACAGACATCTCCCCTAAAGGACGGATATCGGTCAAGTTATTGAAGCAAAAATACCTATGGCTGGTATGACTGTTTCCAAGTGTTCCTGATCCACTTTGAGAACATCTC